ACGAGTTTAGCGGAAGGCATATACTATTGAGGAATGACATACTGGACAGTCTCCACCAACAATAGCTATTAGTGTATCCTCTTTCCGACCACAGCTTGAATTTGGCATAACAGGTAGGGCCGGAGTTCAACAAAGAAGAGCTGACAAAATGACACAGAAGCGAAGAGAGAAAGAAGAGGCAATGAAAGAAATGCAAAAGGCGACATGCCCAAGACCCCGGACATTCAAGTTGCTGAGAAAGGGTACGAGAAAGCAGCGAACTGTAGACGAAATCCCGGTAGAGTCAAGTTAAGACCCACCGATGAGAGCAAGGAATACTAGCCACCGGCTAAGCGTACCCGTCGTAAATTGAAGGATGTTGATTCTAACACACTCAGGCTGGCAGTAAATACTAAATGATAAGTAGTCTATAGAAAGATGATAGGACACTTTTACAGAGTAAATATAAGTCCATGAGCTAGCATTGAGTAATACCGTCCCATAAAAGTGCACAGATAAACAAACGAGCCCATGAAGGGTAGATAAGCCGGCAACAATGGAGTTGAACTCGACTTAAACTAGTGCCAAATGCAAATGTGACAGCTCTGTCACATTTGCGTTCATTTGCGTTCACCTTGTAACGCATGCATTCTCTTCGCGTCGCATGCATGAGACATTTTATCATTTGCGTTCTTGCTTGAACGCTTGCGAGAAATGTTAGAACGTTTGCGTTCACTTTTTAACGCATGCATACATCACGTTAACGCTTGCGTTCATGATCAGAACATTTGCGTTACCTCGATCGGCACATGCGTTCACATACTTTGACTTGTGCGCAGGCTTCCACTGATTTTCTGATGATGTTATAGTGCAACCAGACCATCGGACCAGCTAAGGGGACCTCGTAGGTCAGTCATTTATGGTTTATTAAGTCTCAAACACTGAACTGGACACTTTAATCTATCCGGAACAGTGGTCAAAGCCCTTGAGGATCAAAAAAGATCCTGGTATATATACTTCCCTCCCATTCATATGTACTAACATGCATTCATGATGTCATGAACACTTTGATATGAACGCAAATGATAGCCGAAGAAACGCAAGTGAACGCAAATGAATGCAAGCACGCAAATCAAAAACGCAAAATTCTCCTGGCCCGGTCATAATTACGTTGTTTGGTTATCTTATCATATCTTACAGACGATTCATTAATTCCACAGCACTGCGAGTCTGACGCCGGCTTCTGTATCACGCTCTACAGCTTACTTGTTACCAACAAACATCATGTCCGCACTCAACGCCTCGCTGAAAGTCGCCAAGATCGCTGAAGCCTCCGGCGTACCGTACGTCGAGAATGTGGTCAAGATCGCCGCAGTCGTCTTCAAGCTCCTCGAGGTTCGTTTAGCCATTCTTTGCGGTATGAGGGTTGTCGCTGACTCTTCGTCCTACAGCAAAAGGGAAAGAACAAGAAGAATGCGGAACAGCTCTGTCAGAGCATCGCAGATACGATTGTCGTCATCGACGACCTCGTTCGTATGCATGGAGAAGAAGGAACTTCGTCCTATATCGATATTTGCAGAGAGATGGAAGCGTAAGCTGCCGTTTCTATTCGCTGTTTTTCTTCAACAGGTACTCAAGGTTCTTGTTGCAGATTCCTTCAACAGATGGCGCAAGATATCCAGAATTTTAAGCTCAAGCACCGTGGCCTTAGAGGCATCTTCTGTGCTGACGATTTCGGAGATGTCCTCCAGGCTTACCGGAGACGCGTAGATGATTTGAAAATGGACTTTGTGGTAATATTTCCGCTTCCAGAAATTTTATGCCACATCTCATGTTCTGCTGTAGATCCATTAGTGGTTGACTGCAATTCGAAAGTCACACGGATGATGACCCAGGCTGCTGTGTGTCACTGTCACTCGGAGGAGCAATTCGTTTTGCAGATCCCGAAGAAGCCTGTTGTAATCACCGCTTTTTTTTTCGATCTGATCTAACGGCTCGTATTGTTTTCCACGATATGTACCTACGTTATTCCGACAGTTAATCATACCTCATATAGTTTAGACATTCCATACTTCCTTCTATTTATAGCCATGCTGTTCCAGTATAGACTCAATTTTATCGTGGCACGACCTACATCCAAAGTTCAACAATTCTTCTCGCAGCTCCTATGGATTGTATAAAATTGGTCCTTCAGTGATATAAGAAAGTACACTATTCCACCGTCAGTAAATTAATTTCAGCCTGCGGCTGACAATTACGTTCTAAGCATTGGTGCGGTCATTTACACTGGGACGCTTGGCTAAACTATAGAGTAGAGAGAGAAAGCCATCTCTGCCCATTCAAATAGTCCTGTATGGTCTTTTGCAACGCTTTGGAGTGGAGGACTGTGAGTCATAATTATTTGTGAATCATCGGTTGACTTGTAATAGTCACAGATACAAGATACAAGTTTAACGCGAATGCAACGAACACACAAACGCATCACGCCAACGCGAAATTCACCGTGCCCTCCCCGAGTAAGTAGCAGAGACAGCTTGTCGTTACTACATATCACATGCAATCCTTGCAGTGTATCCGAGGACTGGTTCCACTGAGCCTTCTTTGGTTGCTGTTACCTTCATCTTTCACATCTCGGCGAAGATGTGGTGGATCTCAACGAGCGCCAACGTACCCGTCTCCGGTATGCGAATCTACAGCACTCAAGGGGTCATACCATCGCCTTTGTAAAGTGAAAGCGGTGAGGTGGCACTTAGCTGTGGAGGAAATACAGCATGTGACAACGGTGATTGACCCTTTAATCTCTGCGCCAATGTCCTGGACATCTCGCTCCCCCGTGTATACGGACTAGGGTTCAGCCAACGGAGGACTTTATACGTAATGCTGTGATACAGCTCCTGCGCGTCCGTCATCAATCTTCGTTCCTCTCTTTCTTCTGTTAGCACCGGAAAGTCGGAGGCAAGAATTATACACGGCAGCGAAAGCACCTCGACGACAGCTATGGCGACCCTGGCGAGGATCTTGACCTATGGTGTACCGGAAGCTGCGACGAGACTGGTGCCTTGGAGGAAGGTGCCGAGGGCGTGCATGGTGGGGTGTGCTTCGAACTGTGTGAGCTACGGAGGACTGGGCGCCTATCATTGTGGCTATATGCAGGTGTACCGTATAACGCTCTAAGATGATTCCAGACCGGCACCCTACAAAGGCGTACCAAAAACCAGTGCTATACAAAACACGGGGAAGAAAAAGCCGTCTTCAAGCAAGCAGGTTATCGCTAACAGTGCATATTTTAATGGAGAAACACGAAAGACGATGATAGTGCTCAACTCGGGCGTGCTGAAATTGGAGAGGTTCGAACAGCACAGGTAGTCTAGCAGGCATGGAGAAAGAAAGGCTGAACAATGAAAACTGGAAAGCGTGGGGGCAATCGTAAGCGTGGATGGGATTTACAATGTGAAAGTGAAAAGCAGTTGGTAAATGGAGGACAGCCGTTACAATGATAGATACTCACCAACAAAAAGTTACAACTGAACCATCCGAGAAAGATGTAGCAATGGGTAAAAGTCTTGGGGCTTTTGGTAGTACAGTAACATGCGGCAATGATTGAGGACAACTCAACTATTACAGCACTTATCGTTAATAACTGGCGGGACGGTGTATGCTTCCGCATGGGAATGAGATCGCCGTCGTGGGGGAGGGTCACATCCACTAGAATAGAAGAGATCACGCAGAAACTTCATGTGGTCGTCACACGAGACCCAGCCACGGTGGGGGCGGGATCCACCGCTTGTTTGTCCGGCCCGATGGGAGATCACGTCGATGGCGTGGGAACGTTCGGGTCTTTTCGTCTCCTCGGCTTGCACTTTCTCCGCGTCGATAATCAAGCCCATCCCAGGACGTCACACTGACGGCTCGCTTGCCTACGGCGACAACTCCTCTCCTGATTCTTCCAATCAATGGGCGGGAAAGGAGGGACTCGAGCTGAAGCTGAACGAATGCAGTTTGGATGACCAGAGTGAGGGCATCACCAGATCGATATGAGGCTTTTCCTTTGTTGCCTCTACAAGGGCGTCGCAATACCGCACAATCATGTATCATCCTCGCTCCGATGCCGACGGTTTTTCATCCTCGATGGATGGCATGGCCGCATGAGGTTCGGATGGGCGTGGAAAGGGATGCGGTGACGTCGGCGTGCGCATGATGGGCTGGAGGTTGAAGAAATATCTGGCCGAGCTTATAAACCAACGTGTAGTAGGGCAAGTCAACCTCCATGTGTTTTTCGCTAATGGTATTCTTTCATAGCGTACTCGCTATGGGCCAACGCTTGTCATGAGCTGTTCATGTCCCCCGCTACCCCTGCTGGTCCCGACGACCATGCCAACCTGTAAAGAACAGGTACCACCTACGACCCCTATGAAGAATTATGAAGTGTTTTGTTGCAGCACCAGGAAGCGCTACGGCGGATCTGTAATTCGGTCGATGGGTCGGCGTGGACGGCACTGGTGTGGACGATGGTCTGGGAAATGGACGCGAGGTCGTTGGGGCTGTGGTGGTGGTGGTGGGAGGTAGAAGAGTCGCCTGAGCTGCATGCGCGTGTAAATGTCTGGCTGAGCTGTCGGATACGGTGTAACGGACAAGGTGAGGGCGAGTCATGCATCATCCTTTGCTTTTTTCGCTGAGGGTAGACTTTCATAGTGTGCGCTCTAGGATTGCTGAAGGAACGTCCAGTCTGCCCCTATGGATGCAGGTGCGCATTCTTTCTCTTGCTGCTACTACTAATCCTCGTCGGCACATAGCGCTTGTCGGAATGTGATTAGCCCGTGAACTGATGACATTTTACTGATGCGTGAGACTCGGTGCGGAACTGTTCGCGGAAGTGTACGCGCCCGTACAGGAGAGCACGTGTCGCAAGGTAAACGCATGATCAAGTATTTTGTTTTCATTTGAATACTTGGGTGATAGTGGGTGTTTTCGCTTTTCCTTACGATTGGCCTTGTCGTCATTTCGCAAGGTTCGACAGTGATGCATTAGTGGTGTAATTGTTAACATGTGGTCTTCCCATGGTATCTAACAGATTTTCAGTTTATGGCCGCGTTCGGGGTTCGATTCCCCGCTGTCGTGTCACGCTCACGTGGTGTTACTCAGACGTATCAACTCAGGTCAAATCCGATTTGTGATCATCGATAAGCCGTCTCAACTCATTGATCCTATCCGATACTCGAATCCACTTGGGCTGAAAGTAAGATTCTCTCTTCTCTATACATTCAATTTGCTAAATGTTTGTGACAGATCCATGGCATACGTGCAAACTCAAAAATCCGATTTTGACTCGAGGCTGGCCGGTATTCTTCCTGATTATTCCCATGCCCCTCCCGACTGCCCGAATCATCGAGCTTCTACGAACCAATGATCCACCAACTCCTTTTGAGAGGAAGGGTCTCGAAACTACACTCTCTAAAGCACCCGATCGTATCGCAGAGCTCGACTCCCTCATCCACGCCACTACATCCCTTCTTGAATACCTAATTAAAGATCGTAACCAAGCCGTGGCGAACCAAGCCGACGCGAAGAAGATCCTCTCCCCGTCTCGTCGGCTTCCACCTGAGGTGCTGACCGAGATATTCATTTGGGGCTGGACACTATATAGTCAACATATTTTCCCTTTGCGTTCTAATGCTGTGTCTTGGAGATTGGCGCGCGTTTCCAAGAAATGGCGGGAGGTCGCTATTACTACCCCCAAAATATGGTCCCATATTCAGTTTGAACTTCTTGTGCGACAAGTTCCTTATTGAAGGAGCCCATGGGCATGAAGCGGCATTCATGCTTGGTATGGTCCTTGATCGAGCTCGGCCCCACGACCTCAACGTCATCATCGATCATATTAACGATATATCAACACACCCAGTTTGTACGGTACTTCTTCCCAGTGTTCGTTATTGGAAGTCGTTGGAGGTTTTGGGAATGTCTTGTGTACCCCAGGTTCCTGTTGCCTTGCCGCGGTTTTTTCGACCGTCTCGAAACTATTCACGTAGGGATATTCTCTCATATGGGATCTGAGCCCATAAACATATTTGCTGTGGCCCCACGTCTACGCTCTTTTACAAAGTCATCGGAGGCCCGCTTTTTGCTCCCCGCCAATCTTGTCGATTTCTGTGATACTGAGACATTCCATAAGAGTACATTGACCACCCTTCGTGGTATTGTCAATCTCGAAACTCTCTCACTTCGGTGCAGCTGTTATTCAAGTGAATTACCCCGAGTTCACCTCCCGAGGCTCTCCCAGCTCGAATTGAGAATGGATCCATTCATCTTGGGCGCCGCATTCATCACGTACAATCACTTTGACCTTCCATCTCTCACCCACCTGCAAATGACGGCGATCTACTCTCTTAGGATGGCCTTTCCACATGTTGTTCAGCCAATCAACTCATCAACGGTTACCAGCCTTATTTTGACGTGGTCCATATATCGGCAAAGTTCCATTTCGAACGTTGACCAGGATCTTTCCTCACTTTGTAGGCTGCCAAACCTCCGGTGTCTTACCGTCGAGGATTGGCCAAATATCAACCCCTTTTTGGAGGCATTGTCTATCCATCCCGGAAGGGATGTGCTGTTTCCGAAGATGTCGAGACTTGTTATCAAGTGCGAGCGTGACTTTCGCATATCCGAGGATCTCCTCGATATGCATATTCTAGTAGAGCTCGTCCGATCTCGAAGAGATCAGGGAACTCTGCGAGAGTTCAGACTGGTGTGGAAACTGGGACTTGTCAACGATGATGCCTGATACACGTAGTCGATGGCAACAACTCACTGCACCAGGGACAGGAATACAAATCTCAGGGTCGATCAAGGGTGAGTACAACTTTGCTTCTCCTGTTTCTTTGACCTAAAAACACCATAGGTCTTTAGACGGGCATGCAGCTTAGGCGAGATGGTGACCCGTGTTATGTCTATGTCGGATTGGCAGTATTGTTGATAAGCAGAGAGTCGTGTTCACATATCCAATTTTGGTTCTCCTACTCTGGTTTACTTGAGACACTACGAGAACGTTCGGATTGCCGCTCTGATGTTGAGTTGGTGGAGGTAGTCCAGATTCTGGAATTCTTCAAACGTGAAACGCCGATACGTTCAAGGCCATATCCAAAGGCTACGGCATGCTCGATCCCATCCGTCGAGGCGAAAGTCAAGTGTTCCTCAAGCGGCAGTCAACACTGTGTTCCAGGCAGGTTTCGACGGTGTCGAGTTCAATGCTGCGAATGTGTTCTTCGTCGACCCGTTCATTCAGTATGTAGGGTACGGATATTTATGAGGGATGCATCACGCACCGGGCACGGTCAGTTGTCGAACGCCCATCGTGCCGCCTTGCTATTGAGCCCTTGGTCGACATGGCAGGGAATATGCATGGATGATCTCATCCCGACGTTCTCGTATCTCGTGACGAAGGTCAACCGGACGTGCCGTATTGTATCTTCATGTCATCGAGCTAGTTGTTATTAGGATGTGATCACTTGCTTCTGATACACATCAGTCATGTAACAGTTAGTCCCGTCTCTACCTACATAGTCACTTGTTGGGATTCGACTCCCTACCGATGCCGACGCCCGCTGCTTAGAGCCTTTTTAGAGGTGGCGGTTAAGCGATCATCGTATATGTCTTCCCCCTTTTTGTAAAAGGAGAGGTAATTTTGTTTGCTAAAGACCCTGATCCTTATGTGGCGACATTGGTTGAACTGAAGAAATGGAAATTATATTACTTACTACACTCCAGTTTTGAATCAGATACGGTATACCTGTAAACACCACATCTCTCTCTTTTGCGAGTCGTGTGACGGCTTTTCCAAAGTCCGAGTGGTCACTGGCCGCTTTGAAAGACCGTGCTGATGCAATAATCATCGCTGGGAACGGGGCAACCCAAGGCCTTGCTCACTAGGCTACACAGGATATGGTGGGTGGCCTTGAAATAGTCGCGAACATGAAACGTGGTCGGTCCGAAGTCCGGATGTGAAAATCAGAAGGACGCGTCCGATATTTTCCCACGACTCCTTTTTTGTGACCACGACCATCAGCCGGGGACCTGTTGTCTATCTATTCCATCATGGAATGTTGTTATATGCTGCTCGCATTGGACCTGTACCTCCTCGTTGCTGCATGAGGATCAGTTCTGGAAGAGACAGTGAAGCGAAGAAATGGCAGGAGAACAAAGTGAGAATGGGCGGGAAAGGTAGGCCATTTTTTCTTGCTACTTTTGAGTGGTGAAGTTCACTAGGGAATATACAGCAGAGTTTTTTTTTACTTCTACTCTCGGCACCTGCGACTTTTCGATGCTATTGACGCGACCTTCTCTTGGTATGTTCCTCCGTGTATCTCCCTTTCATCGCTCATTACGTCCTGCAGTGCCCTCTTTATGCTCAGACATAGCCTCGAAGGGAAGAAATCGACGTGGACTCAATTTTGGAGTCTCAAGTCGCGACTCGCCTGGAGAGGCCGTGGCTCTACTTGGTGGCGAAAAGGTATGTGATATGCCCTGTCGTTTTCTCCCGCTTCCTGATGTGCTCGACAGTAACGTCCTTTCTCCGAGAATCAATGAGTCGCTTGAAGCACAGTGTAAAGGGATGCAAGCAGGGATCAAACGATCAACGTCCACGTACCTTGACCGACATCTTGATCTGAAGCTTCGAAGTTTCGGATCAGCTGGGGACGCATAATAAGGTCTGGTGCGTAATCTTTTTTTGGTTCATTCATAGCATTCAATCTTTACAATTCTCGTGTTATTCAGTTCCATCTCGGATGACCGGAGCGAGTACAGCGGCAATGAGACAATCAACACATGCCCCCGCCCCTGCACCGTCACCAAATCGATATCGACTTCTTCCTTCATTGCTTCTACAATAACACCGCAAGACCTCGCAATCGCGTATCATCCTGACTCTGATGCTCCATGCGCCTGACTGCTTCTCATTCTCGTTCGACGGCATGCTATACTGTTGGGCATTGCCAGTCTTTCGAAGATCTACCACGTCCTTCGCTTCGAACTCTTTCACTTTCTGACAAAACGACAAACCCGTTCCCATTCACAAACGCGCTGAAAATCACCGGTGGTCTTAGGCCCCAGTCCGTGGCGCAGCTTTGATGACCTCGATGGTGTCCTCTCACTAGCTGAGGCTTGGGGGGCGAAAGCTGCACTGGATATCCTGCGTGCATCTACTGCTGCGCTCTTGTTACTACATGAAGCGCACTGTGTGTAGGCAGTAGTGGCAAGCTTCGAGCGTTCGGAGGAAGCCAGGCCGACTTCAAACAACATGCTGGGCTTATCTCTCAGTGACGACAAGAATCAAGAAGCGCTACCAGCGGAGCTCTTATCAAGTTTCACCAGAGGTGGCGGGACGGGTTTCAGGAAAGGTATAGAATGGGACGCAGGGTGTACGGGATGCCGTCACCTGGCTGACAGGGTCTGCATGGACGACGCTGGTATGGAGGTTGCTTTGAGAAATGGGCTCGAGGTCGTTGGGGCCTGGGGGTGGGTTGTGGTGGTAAGAGGTAGAAGAGTGACCTGAGCTGCATGCACGTTCGTTGGGAAACTGTCCGGGATGCGGGTGCTTGGCGTATGCTAGGCTAGAGGTAAGGGCGGCCCGATATTCTCTTGTCTCTCGCTAACGGTACACCTTCATAGCCTGCTTGCTAGCGGTGTCGAAGGAACATCCAATCTTTTTCGCTGTAGCTATGCATTCCGTCTCCAGCTGCCTTTGTCGCATCTGACAATAATGCAGGGTTGATTCCTGCATTTACGAAATGTGGGTATTCTTTCCTTATGATGCCCCTGAACGTGCTTATGATAGATGCCGTCCAGTAGTATCTATCATATACCCAATATGATTTATCTGCTCTATCTTCTCTACCGTGCATGAACGAACCTGCTGCAAGACTTGAAGAATCGGTACTACGTATGATCCCAGTCCTGAATTATCAAGTGTTCATTGGAAGCTCGAGGTAGCCGTACATGGATGGCGAAGCGCAGGGGCTGCTCTGGTGTAAAATAAAAAAAAAAGACGTAAGACCTCGTCATCTTTGGAAGTCAGAAGGCCAGAACCCGGGTAACAGTGGTCAGTGCGCCTGCTTTGTTTCTTTCCTCCTGCGTTCTCATGAACAAAATATGGTCTTCTGATACTGCTTCGGCGCGTTGTAACTGACTGGCTGTGCTCGGAGTTCTATTTCCATGTGTATAATAGAATGTAAGAAATGGCGATTTCAATAGTAACAGTATGATGCAAGTCGAGGAAATCTTAATTATCGGGTGTCATGAACTCTTTCAGGAGAGCAACGTTGTGTACTTTGGTTATCTTATCATATCTTACAGCATCCTTCATGGACGCAACAGCATTGCAAGTTTGATGCCGGCTTCTGCATCACCCTCCACAGCACAAGACTTACCACCACCCACCATGCCCGCACTCAATGCCTGTCTCAAAGTCGCCAAGATCGCTGAAGCTTCCGGTGCACCGTACCTCGAGAATGTGGCCAAGGTAGCCGTAGTCGTATTTGAGCTCCTTAAGGTGTGTTTAACTATACTTTACATTATGAATGTTGTCGCTAACTTTGTGTCTCACAGGAAAAGGGAAAGAACAAGAAGGATGCCGAGGAGCTCTGTCAGAGCATCGCAGACACAATTGTCGTCATTGACGACCTTGTTCGTAATGCATCGTCCTATATCGATATTTGCAGGGAGATGGAAGGGTAAGCTGCTGTTCCATTGACTGTTTTTTTCTCTCCAACAGGTGCTCAACAGTCTGGTTACAGGTATCTTCAATGCATGGCACAAGACATCAAGGATTTCAAGCTGAGGTACCGTGGCCTCAGAGGCGTCTTCTGCGTCGATGATTTCAGAGACGCTATTCAGGCTTACAGGAGGCACGCGGATAATTTGAACAGGGACTTTATGGTAATAATTTTGCTTGCAAATTTGTCGTGCGGTATCTCACATTCTGCTATAGATGCATGTAGTGCTTGACTCCAATTCGAAAGTCACGCAGATACACTACCTGTTGATGAATGAGAAGCCTCAGGCTGTTGTGCATCACTCGAACTCGGCAGAGTTCGTTTTCCGGATCCCAAAAAACCTGTTGCAATCACTGCCTTTTTTTTTTTTTTCCTTCTCCCTGATCTAGTGATGCCCGCTGACTTGGTCCCAACTAGGAAATAGAGAAGGTTTGACAGTCAGGGGCGTTTTCGCCGATTACCGTTCCAGTTTGGACTTTTTGATTTCTTCCTCCCACCTACATCCAATATTCAATACTCTTACACTTCTTTTCGCAGCTGTCATGGAAAGTGGAAAATCGGTCCTTTAATGATCTACGACAGTAACTGTACATTATTCCACTGACAGGGAATTAATTTGAGCTGGCAGCTAACGATTACGTTCTAAGCATTGGTACGATCGTTTGTAAGTGAACCGAGGCGCCTGGCTGCAGGATACATAGATAGAGCGTCATTTCTACCCATTCCATTGGTAGGAGCTTGAAACACTGCTATGTAAATGTCCATGGCATAGCTCGCATGAACGGAAAATCCCAATTTTAATTCTAGCTTGATAGCAGCCTCGGGAACGTTACTTGTTGCGTGGTCTTGCAATACTTGTTCATTTTTGAACTTACTTCTTGAATATGACCTTCGCCAGAATCAAAATGCGGAGAGAAGCCGTTGTTCTAGACTATCCAAATTTGGCACTTAACGCTCTCGAAACGCTGTGGAGCGGGACCTTTGACTCGTTGTTATTTGTGGATTATCGGACTTTCCACAGTTACAGATACAAGTTCTGTGGGCAGGTAATAGAGATGGTTTGTTACTACATATCACATGCTATCCTTCTGGTGTATCCGAGGACAGGGATACCTAGATCCAGGTTCCACTGAGCCTTCTTTGGTTGCTGCTCCCTTCATAATTCACATCTCGGCGAAGATGTGGTGGATCTCAACGAGTGCCAACGTAATCGTCCCCGGTATGTGTATCTACAGCAGGAAAGGGGTCATACCATCGCCTTTGTAAAGGGAAAGTACGCATACTTTCTAGTCATCGACGTGTTCTTGCGACCTTCTTGGAACATGTTGACATTGAGAAAGTTCTGCCGTGTTCAGGATGTGCGTCTTTCAGATCGCGGGCTATGCCAGTGAGGTGACCGTTAGCTGTGGAGGAAATACAGCATGCGAGAATGGTGATTTCCATCTCTGCGCCAATTTCCTGGACATCTCGCTCGCCGTGTATACGGACCAGGGTTCAGCCAACGGAGAACTTTATCCGTAGTGCTGTGGTACAGCTCCTTCGCGGCCATCATCAATTTTGGTTCCTTTCTTTCTTCTATTGGCACCACAGAGTCAGAGGCGAGAATTATACACGACGCGACGGCGGCTATGGCGACCTTGGCGAGCCTCTTGACTGCACTGGAAGCTTCGACGAGGCTGGCTACTTGGAGAGGCACCGAGAGCGCGGGCATAGCGGTGGGTGCTTGAAATAGTATGTGCTGTAGAGGAAGGGCGCCTAGTATCTCATCAAGGGTCAGACGTGCTGTTGAATGAGGTGAGATCGCTACCAGTCCTTCTCCCGTAAGGACGTACTAACTGTGTGTTACGGTGAACAATTCTTGATCAAGAAAACAGAGTATCTAGAATGGTGTCTTTTTTTCATCCCCAAATGAGACGGTAGATTATCGCGCTCGCCTTGAGATTAGCGAGGCTGTCTTTGAAGCTCTACCAGGGCTGATGATACTCTCTGAATGATGCTAGATCTGTTGGTTCCAACGATCAAGGACGAGTGATTCGTGTAGTAATGATGGATATATGGATTTGAGAAGGGAGAGATGTGCTGTTGTCTTCGTAGATTATTGATTCGATCTTTGTCCTGTCGTTGCGGATCGGCTGATGCGATAACATGGTTATGTGCTTGTATTTATTCAGGTTCAGCATCAAGCGGTGCTACCAAGAGCCTTAGAGAACGAGGTTGGAAAGCAAGCGTACATGCAATCCAGGGGAACAGTTTACGGATCGCGAATAAGATGGCTCCGATAAAAATGTGAAGGGCAAAGATCATCGCAAGTCAAAGTCGGCGGCAGCTGCGTTTGAAGGAGACTAGTCGCACGATTTGTGATAACGAGAAGAAGTCAGTCTTTTGTTTTGCTTTTATTTACTGTTTGTGTGATACCGAGTAAGTTCGGCGTGGAGAATCATACACTCTAGGCTGGGGGAATGTCGGGCATCGAATCGAAAAATACCATGCAGAAGGCTGTCGTTGTGCGAGACTCAGCCATGGTGGAAGCGGGATCAAACCCCTTGGTTATCCGGCCCGATGAGCCATCACGTCGATGGCGTGGGAATCGTCGGTGCTTTTCATCCCCCTCTCTCGCTTCCTTGCACTGTCCCCGCATAGGACGTGCACCCGGGCCACATCGAATGCTCGACTCCCGATTCTTTTAAGCAGATGGCGTAAAGGGCCGGAAAAGAATGACTCGAGCTGAAGCTGAACGAGTGAAGCCTTCGAATGACCAGAGCGAGCATGTCACCGGATCGGTATGAGGCTTTTCCTTCGTTGCCTCTACAAGGCGTCGCAATACCGCGCAATGACATATCATCCTCGCTCGTTGGTACGGTCACATCAGCCTTTTGATGGTTTATCACGGCCTTTTCGTTCGAGGAGCATCACTAGAAGGCGCTCCAGAAGATCCCGACATGCTCCGTGGCGAAACTATGCAAAAGCGGGGGAACGATTTTCGGGTGGGCGTGGAATGATGCGCGAGCTGTAGGAGATGTGGTGACTCGGCTGACAAGCCGGAGTGGGCTTGAGGATGAAGAAATATCTGGCTGAGCTTGTGAACCAAAGGTTAGGGCAAGTCAACCTCCGTTCGCTTTTCGCTAAAGGTACTCTTTCATAGTATCCTTGCTATGGTCGTCGAAGGAATAGCCAGTGGATCTTGACGCGCTTGCTGGTGAAACTGTTCGAGTGTCGATGGGTTTTGGGCTGGAATGGAGCATGACGCGAGGTGCGGAGTTTGTCGTAATTCGTTCGATGGGCCAGCGTGGACGGTGCTGGTGTGGGAGATGGACGCGAGGCCGTCTAGGGTTGGGTTGTGTTCGTTGGATATAGAAGAGTGGCGGGGGTTGGAGACTTGTTTATTGAAAAAAGGTTGGAGATGGAAGTGTCTGTGGCAAGGTGAGGGCCAGTCATCATCCTTTTCTGTTTTCGCTAAGGGTAGACTTTCTTAGCGTGCGTTCTAGGATTGCTGGAGGGACGTTCCATCTTTTTCACTGATGCAGGTGCGCACTCTTTCTCTTGCTGCTACTAATCCTGACAGTAATACATAGTTCCTCGTTGGCATATGGTGTTTGCGAAAGGTTGTAGCAAGGTACCTCTGTATACACCCACTGACGAACGACGTCTAGTAGTATTTATGACCCACTACACATCAATCCTATATTGTATCTACTCCTATGCATGAGACCAACCTCGCCATGAGAGCACCAAAACTGGTTTGTGAATTGACGATATCTGGTTTAGTCGACGTACCTGTTTGATCTGCTTGGATGTCCTTGCGACCCCACGTAGCTGCGGCCACTTGTCTCGGTCTGGTCGCATGCAACGCTGGCGGAATGTGATTAGCCCGCGCACTGATGCTGTTATACTGACCAGTGCAACTCGGTGCGGAACTATTCGCGGAAACGTATGCGTCCGTACAGAAGAGCACACGTCCCAAAGTAAATGCATGACCAAGTGTTTTTATTTCCTTTGAATACTTGGGCGACAGTGGGTGCGCTTTCGCTTTTCCTTATAATATGGTCTTGTCTTCATTTTCGCAAGGTTTGACAGTTATGCATTAGTGGTGTAATGATTAAGATGTGGTCTTCCCATCGTGTTCTCGACTATCGATTTATGGCCGCGTTCGGGGTTCTATTCCCCGCTAATGTGCATGACTCGACAATGTATGGTTTTTGTGTTAGTAAAAAACTTTTCTCCTAGGTCGCAAAATGTTTCCAGCACGTGTTGATACATGTACTTTCCGGGCTGGCGGTTTTTATATCGAGACGGGCGAGATTAGGGTACGGCCAACCATTCTATTTCATATGGGCTGTATGAATCAAGCTTTGGACGATCACTCGCTGATGGTGGGACTGTTCAATGATATGTCTCCGGAGTTGGGACAGTAAGCGAATACAAACACCTTCCCCAAAACGTCCCGGATCGTCGTTCTGGGTTAATATAGATATCTTCAGAGCGGCTGTCACCATCAGCTGGGCCGGCCGTTTGGGTACCACATGAGTTGACATGCGCCTCAGAAGAATAAGTAGCAATGGTCGAGGTCTTATACCTTTAGATTCGGATCGGATAGTGCATAAGGGGGCTGGACGTTTTGGTATAGGTAACGGAGTAGCACGACCTCTATTATTAAATGTACAAGAGATCCCGAGCAAAGGAAAGAAAGAAAGAAAGAGATGATACATGCATGGCTCAAGAGCCGTACCCAGTCACAGCTATCCCGCCTATCGAAATGGATGCCCAAGATAAGTCGTGGAGCACATCGAAGTGCCAATTACCCCGTGACGGCTGATAGTTTCCCATATGCGCCTTGACGCGCGCTTCGGAAATCATGGGAGTCGGTGTAAACTGTGGGGGGTGGCAAACAGGCTTACGCGGTAATGCGATCCGGTGGCTGCGCATGAACAAGTCCAAGAAACTAGAAGCTAGAAACTAAACAAGAGACGCGGCGTATGCCTGAACTATCCTCTCATGTCGCGGCTCGTTCGACTTGGTGCCCGTATACCCTGATGGTCCCCTGAGGAAAAAGATCAGATCAGTCAATTCAGTATTTGAAAGAAGACCTCACCGAATTATCCACATCGATAGTACAATACGCCGGTTTCCTGAGATGTATTCCAAGAATGGTAGGTTTCCTTCCATCCTCGTCGTTTGGTATGCCTTTGAGCAGAGCGGGATATTTGCGAGTGCTACTCGATTCGACTGACCGAGTTTGGTCCACATAAGGCCGCGCTGGTTTTTCGTCCGTTCGTGTAGGTCGAGGGTGGAGACTATCGCGATAATGGAGAATACGGGCAGTGCTCAAAGGGGTTTACTTGAATTCACGATTAGGTGTGGGCGGAATAGATAAGTACTGCGACCACACCACTGAGCTGACGATGACCGGGATAAGCGCTAAACGAGAGAGTATGTGGAGAGTATTCAGTATGGCAAGTAATAATCATTGACTCACTCTGTGATTTCCCTTGGTACTGTGTAACGAACGGGATTTGTTGTAGAATAAGATGATGGATGATAAAGAATGTGCGAGAAAAGGAAGAATGGTGGAATGCAAAGGGCTAATCTCGTTCACTCCACGTTCGATGCATGGAGGCGGAGGACCTAATCGAGAGCGAGGACGAGAGCGAGAAGATAGAGTATTTGATTTTGGTGGAGGAGGCTGGCGATGGGGCGGAGAAGTCAAAGCTAGGCGGACTTTCGGGGCCAATTTTCCGGTGACGTCACCACCCATCAAAATGACCCCTTCTCTCGTTCATCTTATCCCGTCTATCGCTCCTTCTTCCGTTCAAGCCGTAACCTTCTCGAATATTCTGTGCAGAAGGGTGGCTTTTGGAATAGATACGATCCCAAGAATAACCTGAAAACGGAGTTATGAAGAGCGAAAGGTAGATCCCCGCTTTCCAGTCACCTGTGGGTGTTGAAATTCATTAAAATTTCCAACAAGGTTCTTTCTGTTATCCCTGGCGCCTGTTTTTTATTGTATTGATGTAGTTTTCTCTAAGTAACCGTTACCAGCGTATCCTTCCTTTCGTCTCTCATCACGTTTATCAGCGGTCTGGATCTTTCATACACATCGAAGGAAAGATAGAACAAGACTGCGTCCTGGAGTGACAAATGGCGACTCGCCTGGATAGCCGTGCGCTTAGAAAGATACGCGACTTACCCTGCCAGTATATTCCGTTTCCTGATCCATTTAGCATGTTAGTAAAGCTCATCGATGACTGGCTCGTATCACAGTGACGAATTATTAAGGGAGGGCCAGCTTATCCGCGACGCACGCTCAAACCTTCAACGTTTCAGGCGCAGCGTATACCCGTATTGATGCCGGTTTGATAAACATGGCTCAACTCCGATACTTCGTGGACAGGAGGGCCAATGTTGACGTTGGTGTGTACCGTATTCGATACCGGATCCGACGATCTGAAGCTCTGATCCATAGGTTTTGCCGTGGACGCTCCTTTTCTGGTGCGTGATATTTTGCTCAGTCATGTCGTTCCACCGTTACTAGGTTGGAGGTGCTGTAGACGGTGAAGAGGTGGTCCGGCTTAGCTGCCAGAAACGGTGTCATGACGAGTCGAGGGCGAAGCGCTACCTTTTTCTTTTTCGCTAAAGGTATACTTTCAAGGCGTAACTCCAGGCTAGGCTTGCGAAAGGAACGTCCAATCTTTTCCGATTGATTCATTCTTTCTCTCTTTGGTGCTGCCAATCCTTCGTTGGCGTATGACCAGCAAACATTCAAGTTGTTGGAATGTAAGTATCATGGGATTATGATACCTGTGTAAACATCACTGATGAACGACATCTAGTGGTATCCGTGACCGACTAAATATCAGTCCCACATTGTATTACGATCTTGTACAAACTTAAGACCAACACTCTCAATGAACCGCCAAGCTGGTTGGTAACTCGGCCATTTCCGAGAGATGTCCCGCGAGTGGTCCGCTTGTCAAATATCATTGTCGGACGACATCGCTGATTCACGCAACTGCTATATGAAACACGAACTGAGGCGCCCGGCGGCCATATCAGGAGAGCACACGACCCACGATTTCCAGCTGGGTAAGCGCCTGAACGTGTATTCACGGTGTTGTCGACAGCGTCCGCTGTCCGCAAAGTACAGAGGCTCTAAGAAATCGCATTTGACCTGCATTAGTGGTGTAACGGTTAACATGTAGTTTTCCGGTCCCGTAATGCTTTCAAGATATTGGCCATCTACACGATTATATTTATGAGGGTGTGGTAGTGTTTTGATTCTTGGTGCAAGACGACTCTGATTCTTCTTTTACTACCTCATAGCTTTTCATATATTCCTACGATCGGGGGTTCGGGTTGGTTCGTTGAGGTTTGTCATCTATAAAGTTCCAGTTAGTCCAAGAAAGCTCTTTTTTTGACGCGTACGTTTTGATGTATTCCTACGATTAGGGGCTCGGGTTGGTCGGAGTCGCTACAATGATGTTTTTTATTTCTTTCTATGGAAGGAAGGAAGGAGTTTTTATTAGTCGTCGGTGCTCCTGAACACCGAGACCGACCCAGTCTAAGGGGTACAACACGGTTTTCGCGATGACATTACGGCTCACTACAGTGACTCCGACAATTGATTCGGATGCACTTCTCTTTACCATGATTTTCGGGATGGTACATCGGGGATGTTCTTGTAAGTATTTATTGATAGATACCATATTCATTTGCTATCGGCCACTACTTCAAGCTTCCCTAGTTTAACACTGGAGGTATCCCAATGTTAAATGGGATAACGGAAGCCATGACAATATGGTCCCGGAGTACTTAACGTAGACCTTTGAGGCCTTCCTAAGTTCAATCAAGCGCACGGGTTTCTAACTACATGTAGTAAGACCGTGCGCAAACTCTGACTGACGGTCCGGACTTGTGCTAGGCATCATCAAGCTTTTCAAACTCCTCGGACATCCGGTAGCAATTGGATATACTCAATCCCCCCCTCCCCCCCACGCTCACTTTCGCGGGAGAAGCTGCGCTTTTCTTATAGAAAGATGATCAACATACCCTGTTTAGAGTATTCGCGCCCGCGATGTAAGTCCGTTGGTAGAGTATCAGGCCACATGGCTCTGATTCGGTCTCCAGGCTAGCATTCGCACGGAAAGCCCCGGTCCACATGGAACTATTGAATTAAGACTGGAAGAGGATTATGCAACACGCGAGAGATTCATGCTATCATATGTCAACGCCACAAAATCTACGGGCCGTCGTGAAAGTCCGCGACTTTTGTTATGGTGATCACACGAACGAGAATAGATGACCCTGGCGTACGAGCTTTGTACAAAGGCGGAACTGGGACGATCACATGATGGTTTGGCGCAAGTATGTACTTAATAGTTTTTCCGGTTTCCGGTGGGTAAGCTTTCTCCATGTAGTCAACGCACCCCTGATAATCCAGCTCACATGCCAGTCTTACTTTCGATGCCGGAATCTATGCGGAACATTAGTGAAACCCTTCAAGGGATGTGCCGTTCCATCGGGTGTTTAACTTGAAGGCTCTATTCTGAATGAAAACCACCTGACAGTGATGAATGCCAGATTCCATTTTATCAAGTCCCCAACTCATTCGAGAGCTGGCATAAATTCTCTAATTCTTAGCTTCGGCTTGCTTTCCAACATGGTTGGGATCCAGTACAATTCTTGAGGCGCGGATCCCCTTCTGCTAGTAACAATGACGGTCCACTTTCTCAGGACTGCGTATGAGATCGTTGTTCTGTGAGCAGGTCATTGGACCTCGGGTAGGCCACGGGCATCAGAATCACGAGCTCGCACCAAGAAGCAAATGCACACACCTATAACACTCAGGAGCGATGACTTATGTTCTGTGTCACGTAGTTGCTGGCATATCTCGAGACACGAGTAGGAGACCAAAGAGCAATCGTATTCAGTATTTGCGTGAACGAAATAACGGGCGAAGCGGATAAGTAGTTGCATATGCACTTGGTCTTAGGTTATTTTCGCCATATTTTGTTCAAGACGATCATTCATTACATAGAACATGAGAGTCGAGTCGAGTCGAGTCCTAAAGCGGAAAGGTTCCAGAGAGATCAAGATGTTAGATGAGGCTGGGTTGGAGGAAGTACCGACACACTCTTGCCGAGTGTATTTTGAGTCAAGAGTAGGTGTGGAAATCTTCT